AGTCATGGTAATTGAAATAAAATTCATAATATTTGGAATTAAAATAACTCTTCAAGATTTGGCCACTTTGGTGACTAACAAATCTATCATAATTAATTCCAAAACTAAAAAATTTCATAAACAATAATAGGATTAAATTTTCACATTCAATTTAATCCAGCCACATCACATAATCATTCAATTTAAAATCGTAAATATTACATAATCATACAGTAGCTTTATCCATTAAATCGAATGGCATGAAAAAAAAAATGGCATTAAATGGCTACTGGAACCTTCAGTCCAAATCAATATCAGTTTCTCCAATAATTTATGAAACCGAGAAGCAAATTCATGAAACAGTGATGCACATTTACCGAAAAGCCATTCAAATCAATATAAGTTTCTAAACAGTGAATTGGAAAACCGACGTATGGCATCCCAAAATTGAATGGCGTAATTGTTTACATTGAAAAGCCATCAATACAAATAAATGGCTTTGTCACGAAAACCGAGAAAAATTTACGTTAAAAAATAAAAATAAAATTCACACAGTACCTTTGTTCTCCATTATGCACGGTTAACATAATCCATTCAGAACAATTGAAAATGCTTTTCAAACTCAATTCAAATCAAAATCGAATGGCATTAAAACCGAATGCAAATTTTCATCCATTAAGAAACACGAAAACCGAGAACATTCAAGGAGACCTACGACAACAACTTTGAATATTTCTTTAGCCAATACAAATTCTTTTCATGATGCACGGTTAACAAAAAGCATTTGATATTGATTTCAAAAAATGCTTTATCGATCAGTTTCTCTTTTCATGATGCTTTATCCAAAACCCTAACTCTTCATGAATCAGGAATTCATTCATAATTATTTATGGAAAAACACAAATTCTTAAACACATGCTCTGATACCAACTGTAAGTAATTTTATCAGTAAATCAGTAATACATGTTCATCAGTAATCATTCAAGAACATGAAAGAGGATCTTTAGAATTCATGAGTTTCACATAAGAGCGTACCTTTCTCTATTAGTGCGGAAGAACTTTGATGATGGAAGATTGTTTCTCAGAGTCTTTACCCTCTGCTTTCCTTGTATCGTCTATGACAGGGATCTGATACAACTTTTATGGGCAGACCATGAAGGAGAGAATTCTGAGAGATAATCATAATCAGAGACTCACCATTTTTCTCTTTATATAACTGAACCATGTCACCAGTTACGAAGTTTCAAATAACTCCCTGTAACTTCCTAATAATGCGAAACGTCAAAACGTCAATTACCATTAATGCAAAACGTTACCATAATGCAAAACGTCAAAACGTCAATTACCATTAATGCGAAACGTCAATTACCATAAAGCCTCTTTTATTATTAATTAAACTAATTGACACACGTTACACATGAGACACAAATATTTTTACAATACAAGCCTCTAAACTGATAATTAATTATCATCTAACCATCACGATAGCAACACAAAAAGCAGCTTAATAAAATTTGGATTTGGTGTTTGTTCTTTTAAAAGACATAAAATTGTATTCTTTTAAATGAGAGAAAGAGATATATAATAAAATCATAAGAGGACGGGTGTTTTTTTCTAATTTAATTTTTAAATAAAAAACACTAATTTTAATTAAAATGATCATCTTTTAAAATGATAAATATTTTTTTTTTCCATAAAATTAATCGTGTTTTTTTAAAGGTTTTTTTTTCTTTCTATATTTTAATCATTCTTTAAAATTTAAGAACCCAACAATTCATATTGGAAATTTGAGAACAATCACTCTAGTTACTATACGACATCAAAATTTTTTAGGAAAAAGTTCACCAATGCTCCTGTGGTTTGCTTCAGAATCATTTATGCCCCTGTGGTTTTTTTCCTATCATATATGTCCCTGTGCTTTGTAAAAAATAAGAAACCACATGGGTATATGTGATAAAAAACATACCATTTTACAAACCACAGAGGCATATGTGATAAGAAAAAAATCACAAGGGCATAAGTGATTCTGAAGTAAACCACAGGGGCATTGGTGAATTTTTCCCAAAATTTTAATATCAAATATCTCCCTCTCAATATGAACACTTTAAAAAGGGCAGGACTGTTCACATGCCGAGATATTGGGCTCACCGTGGCAGCAAAATCATTCGCTTATAATAAGGCCCATGAACATCGATATCGACACGAGATATGAGACATGATATTCTGACACATTAATTTTAAAAAATATTAGATTTTAACATATTATGGCACATTTTGATATTAAATAATATTTTTAATTCATGTAGTGCATATTATATTTAATATTCAATAATTTATTAAAAAATGAAACTAAACTTATAATACCCATAAATTTTGTAAAGAAACATAAGAGGTAATATTTACTATTATATTTTTAAATTGAAAATATCTTATACACTCTAGTAAAATTTATTCGTTATCCATTTTTAATTTTTATTATATCAGTTTGGTAAAATATCAATCAATTTTTTTATGATATGTAATGAAATTCAAATATTATAAATGTCGGAGCGTGTCAGAATGTCGGGGAGTGTTAGAAATGAAACTTCAAATATTTTGAAGTTTCAGTGCTACATAGCTTAGAATCCCATATTAAGGTGGTTCAACAACCTACCAAGGTTGATCAGTATGACAGAGAGGGATACCAACAAAAAAACATGTTAATGTAATAGCTTTATAGTGTAGGAAAAAGTGTTTATCCTTTAAGTTGTATCCTTTTAAAAGAGAGAAAGAAATAAATCATACAAGGAAAGAGTGGGTTTTTTTCTCTCTCCTTAGTAATCTATCTCCATCTCTTTCTTAAAAGGACTATCCTTTAAAAAGATGCACATTTTTTCCTATAATGTCTGGCAAAAACATGTTGCCATATAATGATTTTGATATAAAATTATATATGTTAAATATATTATGATATGATTCTTTTTAGGGTAATATGTCTCTCCTTTCACAGGAGAAGACAAATTGATTCTCACAGGAGAGTGAATCCTCTCATATGAAAAAGTGATCATGTGGTTATGTTATTTGATCACAACCACTCATTGATGATGACATAAGAGAGAAAAATATATAATTCTTAAATTTGTGATCAAATAATATTTTTTCATATGAGAGGATCCACTTCCTTCCACAGAGACATGGAATAGTATGCAGAGCATTTTGTTTTTTATTTATTTACTTATTTAACAATCACGGGCCTCATCGAAAACCTGTGTCTGCTGCAAGGTTATAACTTTTGCAGTCACAACGGAAGTTATAACCCCTTCTTTTTATGGTCAAAATAAGTCTTCTGTTGCAGCAAAATTCATGTTCTCCTGCCAATGAGAGATCGATGTGTGTGCCAATATTTCATTTCATTTTTTTTTCTTTTAAATCAGTGGGACCCATTTAATTGTATCAGCCGCAAAAAAGTCTCTCATTCTGTTGCTTGAGAAGATGCAATCCCTCTTTTTATATGTTAAATATGACATATGTTTTTAGGGATTAATGTTTTTCATAGTGTAGGAGATAATTTATCTCCTATAATATGCACATAAAAGTGTGTGGAGCCCATATGAGGCTATGTTAAGAGAAGAGAGAAAAAAATACGAGTCTCACATATTTTTATGTATGTGTAGGAGATAAAATTATTTCTTACAACATGAGAAACATTAATATCATGTTTTTAATATATAAGTATATCAGATTTTTTAAATAATAGTGAGTACATTTAGCAATAAAATCAAATTTTATATTTACTAAAACTAGATTTAAGTATTCTATTATCATTAAATTAGTTAATTTAACTATTAGATTAAGTTTAGTTAAAAAGATAGATGATATTAAAATGAATTCAAATGTCGAATTTGATGAAACTAAAGAATTATCCACATATACTCTTATAATTGGGTCAATTTTTATTATATTTGAAAATAAGTAAAGAGGGTCAAAACTCAAAACATTGAACAAAAAATGGGTTTTGTATTATTAGAAACACAATTTCAAATGGGGGAGTCACGATCTCCCTAACGTCACTCCATGGCAATCAAATTGGGTCATATGTCACAATCTGATTGATTTTTTATTACTTGCCCGTACCCTTTTCAACCATACCCTTTTAAGGGGTTTTCGTTAATCAGTTATAACAATTAAGGGATTTCCATGAATCGTTTTTTATAAAATTTCTATTAAAGGTTAATTAGTTATTATTATTCATTTAGGATTATTAATATAGTAATTAATAATTATAATAACATATTAATTGTTTTAAGTCTTAACTACCTAAACAATATTTTGTTATTTTTTTTTTTTTTTTTGATAACAATATTTTGTTATTTAGTATTTGGAGTGAGTGAGTGTAAGGTGTGAGTATGGATCAACTAGCACAGAATTGTTACAGTTTAACCAATAATTTTGAGTTTGAGTGGATTGTATTAATAGATGAATCAATGAATTAGTTAAGAAATCTCTCTAAAAAAGAAAAAAAAGAGGTTTTTTTAGTGGGATTTAATTAAAAGGGGTATGGGCCAGCCAAATCACACCACGCAATACAGTCCAATATTAGATAGATATAATTTACAACTTACAAGCACCAAATATAAAAAATAACCAAAGGGTACGTTGTTTCAATAAAAGATAAGAATTATATCCAATTACTATCAAACCTAAAGAATATCCCTATCAATTAAAAAACACCAAAATCGTGTTTTAAAATTCGAACTATATAAGTCTCATCCCCAGTGCAAGTCGTGTATTTTTTTTTTCTTCATTTGAGTCTTGGACCATTCTCAAGCCACCAACATTGAAAGAAAAATCACTTGCTAATTAAGTCTCTCTTCTTTGCTAACTCTGCATGACCATTTTTTCTTTTATTTTATTTTTTATTTTTTTGGTAAACACTCTGCATGACCATTCTACCATAACCAAAACCTCACATAAAACACCAATAAATAGAGCTTTCAATTTTGGTTTAGCATCCTCACATAAAGGCAGACATATAGAGAATCATGGAAAATCCTAAGCAAAGACTCGTGAGTTTTGCAATTGCAATTGCAACATTACTCTTCGCTGGGATTGTTTTCCTTTACAGCTCTACCTCCTCTTTCTCCAGTGAATTAATTCTAGCCCAGAAAGAACCAATCTGCCAACAATCAAACAGTGTAAGTTAAAACACCTATTCCTCATTTTATTTTATTCCCCATAAAATCAAATCATGGATATTCTTTACAAATTGGCTGAAATTTTCAATCATTTTATCATAAAGTTGTTCCTTAATTTGTGATCGAAAGGTTACGGTTCAAATCCGGGAATTAAATCTTTGCAAATATGCAATGATAAAGGCTTTATGATAAAGCCTTTATCTGGGTTTATCATAGATCTTTACAAATATGTAATGATAAAGCTAGTAAAAGCAATCCTTATATGTAGCTTTATAAGAATTGCTTTTACTACTACCCTTGTTTGGGTCTAATGAAGAGTGGTTAATTAATTAATTACTTTTCTTTTGTGCATGTTGTAGACCAACGTGGAAGCATATGGAGATGAACTAGACTCTGCATTGGCCAAAGCCTCAATGGGAAACAAAACGGTGATAATTGCTATAGTAAATAAAGCCTATGCTGATCAAGATATAAAGGGTGATACAACTATGCTTGATCTATTTCTCACCAGTTTTTGGCTTGGAGATGGAACCAGGTCTCTCATTGATCATCTTCTCATAGTAGCTGTTGATCGAACGGCCTATGATCGATGCCAGTTTTTGCGGTTAAACTGCTTCAGATTGGAAACAGATGGTGTTCATTTTGAAGGAGAGAAACTCTTCATGTCTCAAGATTTCATCAAGTTGATGTGGAGAAGGACATTTTTCCTCTTACAAGTTCTCAAACGTGGCTACAGTTTCATTTTCACGGTACATTTCTTTTTCTCCCCTCTATTTTTGTCATAATGCACAAAGCACGCAGATCAACTATTAACAAGGTTGTTCCGGTTTTCTCGAGTTCGAGCACTAGATATGTAATTATGTTAAAAATGTGGTAAGGGGAACTTTACCGTGTTAGAGAAGTATAAAAAATCATTAATGTAACATCATTCAAAAGTTTAAGTTTTTGGGTTGAATTAGTTCTTCACACGGTACAGAGTCTCAATGTCATGGATTCGATCCTCACTATCCCCCACTTTCTCTTGTGAAAGTAGATTGAGCATGTACATTATCCACCATTTATGTTCAATTGGCTCTCGTATAAGCGGCGTATTAGAAAAATATATAAACCATTGATGGACCTTTACTTAATAACTTATCAGCTTAAGTTTTTGGGTTGAAATAGTTATTTATATACCACCTTTGTGGTCTTGCCAGCTCGACCAGACTAATCACTTGAACCGGTGTAAAAACCTCAAAATAAATAAATAATATAGATTGTAAAATCAATTGGATATTATTAGTGATTTATTTGCTAATCTACACATCAATTATATTCATTACCTTTGCATTAATTTGTTTGTTTGTTTGGAAACAGCATTAAATATTATTTTAAAATTTAAAAAGTTGTTACTTTTTTATAGATAATTATTAGAATGATTATTAATTAAGATTTTTATTTATTTATGAATTAGTTCTGTTAAGGATTTAGCAACTTCTAAAGTTTGCGTTATGATAAGATAAAGTTATAACAACGGCTTTTTTACCTACTAATATATAAATTCAACTTTTTTTATTTATTTAGATACTTACAATCTTTTACATTTAATATAAATAAATTTTGGGAAAATTGCTTCTCCTATCACTAAAATGACATTATTTTGAAATTTGGGGGGGGGGGGGGGGGGGGGGGGGGGGGGGGGGGGGGGGGGGGGGGGGGGGGGAACATTTTGGAAAATTTATTTATCTCTTATAACATGAATTTTTTCAAAATATCCTTCATTTCTTCTACCAATCCTAAAATGATATTACTTTGGAGTTGTAGAAAATAACCTTATCTCTAGTGATAGAAAAAAAATAAAAAATACTTTTATATGGTTGGTAACTAACTCCATCATCTAACGTTTTAAGTTAGTTATAAAAGTTGTGAAAGTTTTAAATTCCATCACGAATTTGTCAAACTTTTAAATGAAAAGATAGTATTAATTTCCATCATGAACTTGTCAAACTTCCCTTAGAAAGTTGTGAGATGAGGTGGAAGGTATAGTTCATCTCAACTTTCTTATATGGTAGCACGTAAGGGTAACGTATGATATGGCAGTAACATGCATTTACGTGTTAGCAATCTAGATTCTAGAAGGGTGCTAGGGAAGTGGAAACCCAAAAATCAGGGAAACCATTTTGAATTGTAGCTGTCCATATATTTAATTTTCAGTTTTTTATTTGTTCCAATCCTTTTTTTTTAAAAACAAATATGTACCAATTTAGAGTTGGTGAATGAAGGCAAACCAATGACTTTCAGTTAATGTTATTTTGTTATTAATTTAATCTTGATTTAATGATAACCTAAATGGTTATATCCATTATAAGTATATCCTTCCTTTATGTGTACCATTATCTCGTGTGATTTGAATTCAAGCCTTTTAATTAAAGCTATTATAATTTTGCAAACTAGTGTTACTTTCAAAAAAAAGAAACCCTCACAGCGTACATGTAGGCAACACAATACCGAGAAGAATGTTTCTGTTGTTTATGTTTGTGTAGATGTTTATGTTTGTGTAGATAACATAACCCCTTTGAGAAAATGTTATTTTAAAAAGTGAATAACTGTGAATTTAATATTAATTTAATTCAAAATATATTTTTTGGATATACCCTCCGGTTAATCAATTATTTAATTAATTCGGTTCGAGTATTGTCGGATCTATTATAGAAAATAGCTCTCCCAAAACTATTTTTTTATTTAGAGGGCTCGAACTCGAAATCTCTGACAAAGAGAAACATGTCTCTTATGACTTGAAACAATTATTGTTGGTTAATTCGAAATATATTTGATTTGTTAGCTATTTTTTCTCTCCTAGTCTCCTCTAATTAATGTTCAACACATTCATTGTAACAGGACACTGATGTAATGTGGCTAAGAAACCCTTTTACAAGGTTGAGCAAGAATGAGACTGAGGACCTTCAAATCAGCACAGACATGTACCTTGGTGATCCTTGGTCAGAAAAAAATCCAATCAACACAGGATTTTACCTTGTGAGGTCTAACAACAAGACCATCTCCTTGTTTGAAACATGGTATGGAAAGAAAGACAATTCCACAGGAGAAAAGGAACAAGATGTGCTTGTTGACCTCATTAAAAATGGTATAATTGGAGATTTGGGACTTAGAGTTAGGTTCTTGGACACCCTTTATTTTAGTGGATTTTGCCAAAATAGCAAAGATTTTGGGGCAGTCACCACCGTCCATGCCAATTGCTGCAGAAGTATCAATGCTAAGGTAGCGGATTTGAAGAATGTCCTACGTGATTGGAAGAAATTTAAGAGGATAGAGGGTAATTCAACAGTGAATTTGGAGTGGACTAAGCACAATTGGTGTTCGCATTCTTGGGAAAGTGCTAACAAGATTGTATAAACATTTATGAATAGATTAATAAATGAATAAAAAATTCTGTATGGCAAAATCTTTCTGAGGATTGTATTACAAAAATATCATACAAATCAACTTTTTTTTTTTTATTATAATTCTTTTGATTTTTCAATTCTCATAGAGATTTGAATATTTACTTCTTGGTTTACTAGATCTTCTTGTTGATTCAATAATAAGATCTTGTAAGGGGGTAGTAGCTCTTCACCTGGTTATAATAGAAAAATTTCTATTCATGATTTGAATTGTGCGACACGATTCAATTCATGCTTTAAACCGTGTAAGTCAAATTGTGTAATTATTCAAAGTTTAATTCTTTGGCAATTGATTTATAAATCTAATGGGAAAGATACATATCTTGGCAGCATGGGTACAAGTCATGCAAAAGCCTATGTGCTACTTGCCACACATTGTGCATATGGAGAGTGCGCGGACTTGAACGCACATGAGAGTTATGCATGACTTGAATGCGTACGAGATATGCGTCTTTTTCACGTATGATTGATAAATTGTTTGTCAAAAACATTAAATTGATGAAGTGTTTCTAATTTTGGTTTACATGTGTCAAAAATCCATTCAATTCAACCTCGCAAATCTCAATTATACAAATTGAAGAGGGAATAAGAAAATTATTCTGAACTTTTCATCTGCAAACATTGAACGGGTTATGAGGTTTACGCAACTCTATTTTTTTTCTTCCGGTAAACGCTCTCTATTTTACTTATATAAAATGAGGGAGATGTTATACTTATTATTATTTTTCTTACTATCTCTTATTACCAAATCTTAACCGTTGATTTTCGTCAATCTAACGGTTATAATTTATTGGGTCATACTTATTAATTAATTATTAATTAACCGTTAGATTGATGGAAATCAACAGTGAAGATTTGTTAATAAGAAATAAAAAAAATACCAAGTATAACCTCTCCCATAAAATGACGTTGATCATTATAGGGTCCGAGAGATCAGTTTTAATGAAATCAACAAACTAGATATATAGGCGTAAACTTCAATTTTAACAAAAAGGAGTGAACAATGATTTTCTAAAATATATATTTATTATTTTACTATTGTTTGTATTTTAAACTGCAATATATATATATATATATATATATATATATATATATATATATATATATATATATAAAAGAAATAAATAAGATAAGAAGAATATAACTGTACTTTAAATAATACTCTGTTATTGTAGGAGTAGAAGCACCATATTTGACTAAAACTAAGCAATCGTCTAGAGAGGTTTTCAATTAATTTTTAAATAACTCTCTCTAGATGATGGCCTAGTTTTGGTCAAATATAGTGCTTCTACTTATACAATCACATGATTTTTATTGAAGCAATCAGATAAATATTGAATGCGAGGATTTCGATTCAATTGAGGTCAATCACGATTTTGATATCTATTTATCCGATGATGGATGTCTTAGAAGTTCTGACCTTAGGTTGATTATTTCGACCATCTTCCTATCTAAACTAGGCTTTCATGTCTTCATAGAATTTGTAGCCCTTTGAGTTATCTGCAAAATTAACAAAAACGAAGTCAATCGGACACCTGTGGAGTGAGATATGATCACAATACTAAAGTAACATAAAGTTAGAAATTAATGACAAAAGTAAATTAAACCCAATAAACAACCAAAAATCTAATTTAACCCAAAAGTGTTAGGTTTTGCTGTTTCACTAAAGCCCAATAGGGTCTAGAGTGTAAGAAGAGCCCAAGAAACCTAAAGCCCATTCTGCTTAGGGCTAGGATTTCTTGGAGCCCATATATATTCCACTCTTATAGTCATCAGCCTCTTTAGTCTTCACTTGGTGGTTTCAGAGGCTGAGGTAAGGTCATCTCCCTGAAAGTGAGAGAGTGCCTAAACACTTCCCGTTTCCTCTTGAGACATAGTCTGGAAGATTTGCCACAGTCCAACTTCAAGGAGGTTGTTCGTGCTGCGGCGCTGAGGTGAGCATTTCGTGAAGAGAATCATACAAGGGAAAATTCTACACGAGATCTGCGCACCAAGAGGTAATCGTGAAACGAGGATGATTCGGTAAACATACCAATGTACTAGGTCCTAAACCGCTTCCGCATAAATCCAATAGCTCCTACAATTGGTATCAGAGCCTTGGCTGTACATTGGTATGTGAATCTAGTTTCACTATTCGTGTAATTAGTTTTGCTTCGTAAAATATGGCACCTAAGTTTCTATATTTGTTATTATTGGCATGTGTATCTGTAAGAACCCGCACCGTTAATTAAGGAATTTAATTAATAAATTATAAGAAAATAGAAAATGATTCCGTAATAGACCCTAATAATTATTATGAGGCTCTAATAATTATAGTAAGTGAGTAAGAATGCTGAAAGTCTCTTTTTGGAAGAAAATTGCAGATACCGGTTCTGCTAGTCGGTATAAATGTGTACCGAAAAAGTATCCTAAAAAATTATAATAAGTGCATGATAATTACTAGATTAATATGTAAGACTTGTAAAACGAGTTTCAAGTCAAAATAATGAGAACTGGTATTGGCTATGAAAAGCGCGTACCAGAAAGGTGCTCCGAAAATTATAAGAAAAATATAATAATTCTTGTAAATTGAGTAGGTTAAGAATCCAAAGCTTGGGATTTAAAATGCTAAGCGTAGCAATTAAAGTTAATACTGTGTGTTTAATGAGTAAGTGGCTATAAATACCCTTATTTGGGCACAAAACCCTAGACTCTTCAGCCTCCTACGTGACTCTCTTGGTGGTTGAGTGTTAGTGCACTGTTTCATTGGCTTCTCATTCATTTCTTGAGCCAAGTGGTCACCTTTGCTCCTTTTCTTTTTCTCTTTTGTTGAGTAAACACCTTGGTTGGGTGTGAGGGTCACTTGTGAGTGGGAGAGGAGCTTATGTTCTGAGTTGTGTTGCTGTCTTAGTGAGCTTAAGGTGGTGTCTTGTTGAGTTGGGGGTTGTGGAGTCATCTTCTTGGTTTGTGAAGCTTCAAGGAGCTTCCTTTGTGAAGAAAGGGCCAAGCTTTGTGTAGTCAGTTTGTTGGAGCTGGTTGTGAGCTCCAAGAGCAGCCCTTGTTTCTGCCTTGAAGCCTTGAGTATGTACCTCAACTTGATCATGAGTCTTTATGCCTTAAAACGGAACCATGATGCATGTAATGGCTAAAAGATGATAACCTAACTTGGTGTAATGTCAAACACACCTAGAAATGCATGTTTAGGCTTCTGTAATTGGTAAAAATGGAACCTTGGAAGGATATCTTCGCGAAATGCAGAAACTGCATTCTGTCGCGAAATATCCGAATATTTGCCTTGGAACATCCGGATATTGATATCCGGATATTTATATCTGGATATGGGGATCTGGATATCCGGATATTGATATCCGGATATTGCCAGAGTGATATCCGCATATTGGATATCCGGATATTGCCTGTGAGATATCCGGATATTGGATATCCGGATATGTCCCCGAGGAATATCCGGATATTCTGGGTTTGCGAGGAACAGTAGCGTACTGTTCATCCAGAACTGATCTATGGGTTTGTGGACCCTAGTTTGAGGAAGTTGAACTTCTGTAATTAATTAATGTAAGTCAGAATCATATGATTAAGGGCTTATGGCTTAGTGAGAAGCCTTAAGACGTAAAACGTAATGGAAATGCGTTGTCTTAATATTGTATGCTTGGGGTGCATGTTATTGATATATTGTTGGTCCATAACAGATTGTGAATCTGCTGTGTTTGGACTTTGAGCTGTGGACTCTCGGCTTTGGGTGTTAGCTTGCAAGGTAAGCTTTCGTGTCCTCGGTTTAGCCATGTTTTGGTTCCACCATGTCCCATGAGGGTATGGTTTTATGCATGCTGTGTTACATGCTTTGAGATATATGAATTGCTGTTGAGCTTTATGTGTTAATGGCTTTTAATATGCATGTGTTGTTCCATCTTGACGGTAAGCCTGAGTATGTGGCGTCATACAATACGGTGATCCGGGGTGGATTCAAGCGGCGTCTTGTACTTATTGTTGGGTTGTAGACGTACATCCTGCATTTCTCTGGCCAGTAGATTAGTATTGACACACATGACATGATTATCTGCTGCATTGCACTGATTTAGAACTGATGGTGATAAACTGCTTTTGAACTTATATTGCATATGTAAGTGAGCTTGGGGTGGAAGATCCTTGAGGACCCCTTGTCTTACTGAGATTTCTTGTTTAGAGATCTCACCCCACGTTTGGGGAATACTTATTGCAGGTTCAGGTAGTGTGGTGACTGATGCCTCTGGCGGCATGAGGCCAGAGCTTAGTTGATGATTTTACTGCTTATTTGCTAGCATGACTGGGCTGGATGCTGTTTATGTTTTCCGCATTATTATTATTATGTTGTTGATGTTGAGACTTATGTTGGGCTTTGTTGCCTTATTTGGGTGAGCATGGGAGTTGTCCATGCCACTATGTTGTTAGTACTTTTGAGTTGAGTTGTATAAACTGATAGTTGGTCCGATCTACGTGTTGTAGTTCCGTGACTAGAGACATATTTTATGTTGTTTTAATTAATGAGGTATTTCAGTTAGCTATTTTATTGCAATTGCATACAAGCGATGTTTTATTAATTGATTAATAAGGAAGTTGGTAATGATAATGACATCATAATTGAAAAGAAAAAGATATTCCGCAATTTTAATTAAGCGCAGCTTTATACGATAGTATGATAACATTACCGGATATATACAGTGTGTTACAGTATCCTTTATAATTCTTTTTATAAAAATCAATGTTTTTATTTGATTTTTGGCTTTAATCCATGGTAGAGATTTGGTTGTATTTTCTTGGGTTGTAACAAGGAGGCTAATCCTTTATGATTAGGTTTCCTCCTTGCTGTTTTTATTTATTTTTGGAATTTCTGTGTATTTTTTCAACACTTTGTAAAAGTTCAAGAACGAGAAACCGCGAGGAAGATGCGCAGTCAGCACTGTCAGAGACTTTTCGAGG